AATTCGAAATTCTGTAAACCCCATCCCAATCCAGTAATCGCCACGGAAATTTTTAAATTTTCCAATAATAGTCATGTTTCATATCAATTGCCACTATACAATATGACGTCTCAGATTGAAATATGAACATGTAAAAGGGTGAAAATATTTTGAAGTGACTTCAAATATCAAACGAAAAGATATAAGTAGGTACCTATATATAATGGTGTAAATGCAATCCTGATTTCATTTGTGTTATTTAACCAAATAGGAATTTGGTATTGACGTTTCTAATCTCTTTATCAGCTCACCTTATTCCATTTCTACATACTCTCAAGGCCCTATGGTATTTTTAATTGTTCACAAGTATGTGCTTCCTCTAAATTATACCAGTTTTTTCAGTAATTAATTGCGCAGATAATATTATTCGGTATAATTACTTTACAGTCATTTTGAGTCGAAGATTGAGTCATTTTAAGTAAAAATGTCTTGAATTATCACTCGCATTCCTTTATGATGAAGAGAGGACCATCGTATTTGTATCGAATGAGAAATGAAAGACTTGAAATGAATGTTTTAGAATATGAATGAATTTACCGTATTATTCTCATTGATTTAGCGTTAATCATTAGTTATCAAACAGCAAATATGAATAGTGAACGAATAAATAGACAAAGATAATTTATACAAATAACGTCTAAATGTGGGACAACTGGTAAACTAGTTTTCTCAGTGATGAGTATCATCTTATTTGTATGCGTTCGAGGTCTTTCCAAATTTTCATTCAGTTTCGTTTCGAATGACGGTCGGATAAAAACAAGTTTTGATCAACAATTACACCTATGCTGGATAAGGTCAATGAATATTTAAATAAATTATAATAATAATAAGTTTTTTCATTCTCAACAAATATAATACTCATTTACAGAAAATAATAACATAACTTTGAATAATAACTAAAAAGTAAATGAATGAAATGAAAAAGATATAACAAAAAGCTCAATCTAATCTAAAAACATTAAAAAATTAACTAATAACTGAATAATAATATTAAATAAAATATCACAAAGAATTCAATCTAATTCAATTAATTTCAGTCAATTTCACTTGTTCACATAACTCCTAATAATAACTTCTATGGAGTCAACGTGAATGTCACATTTATTAGCAACTCTATTGAATGAAGACTCCATCAAACCAAATGGGAGATTTTATTAGCTAGTTGGTCCTTGGAGTCTCTAGGTGTAACTTCTCTAGTACGAGAATTTTGCCTAGGAACACGAAATTTCAAATCGGACAGAGAGGACAATCAATGCTATTGTGCAGTATTGTACAAAAATTTGAGTGATAAATTTTTTCTCCTGCCCTACAATGAAATTAAACTAAATCGACTCCTCTCTGTGGATGAACCTTCTCTGAATGGCCTCAAGACGGCGTTGATGGCAAGTATAAATAGGAGGCTAGATCGAGCCATACTCCAACTTGCTACGAATTAGAGCATTAAATAGTCCTATGAATGTTGAGGAATTATTCAAATAGTTGACATTGCGTATAACGAATCCATATATTTTCGAGACACATGAAATTATAATATAATATATAATTAATGATATTGATAAATCAATATCCTTCATTTTGACTTTTGAATGAATTCTCGGAATATTTTACCATGAATATTCGGATCCCCGTTTAAATATTCGTTCTTCCAAATAATATGTTATGTAATATGATATAATATAAATAGATATTTCATTTTTAGTCAGTTCGATTTAGTTATTGTTTCAAATTTTATTTTCGTTGTATATATTCGCGTATATACTCTCCTTTTTTTTTTTGTTTCGTTTTCTTCATCTTATTTATTATTATTTGTGTAAAATATTTTTCCCTGTAATTGGATGTACCTATATATGTTGCGAATGAATGTATTATTATTAATCTTTGTTATGAGAATGGAATTTTAGAAAGATTGGCTTTTATAGGGACTGCCGAAAGAAATGAAAACTCAGAACTTTCAGTATAACAATTTTAAATTTCGTAATGTTTAAATTAGAATTATTAACATCAATCTGGTTTTCCCATCTATTTACACTCCGAGCAACAATTATATGCATGTTTATATGATTTTCTTTTTATTCAAATATATTACGAGCTGTACAAAATCATAATAATATAAATACAATTTAATTGAAATAACAAATAATAAACAATCATATTATTTATGGATATTATTTGTATTTACTTCTTTAACTTTTCATTTTACTTATTTGTAATTTCAATGTACTTGATTTTTAACATTATTTTCATTGTTTGTATTATTGTCATCATTAGTTTCAACAATACTCACACTTTTTCAACTTTCAATCATTTGATTGTGTTCTAGAAGAGATACAATAATATTATGGTAACTAAAGTAAGAAATTAATATGGTTTAAATTTATCTAAGTACATTAGTTCAGCTGTATACGACACAATACGTTAACGATTGCTATAATCATGTCTGTGACGCAAACGCACGAGATTTCGCCTATCCACAGAGCTTCTTACGAGCACATCACACGGCGCACCATGTTGGTGACTTAAACTCCCAACATTTTCGGCGACCAAAAAAACTCACAACATTTTCGCCGACCAAAAAGTGCCCAATGCAGCTAAGAAGTTGTCACCTTAAAAATTACATTGTTTAATTTTATGCAGAATATACCTTCACCAAACTCCTCGAATGTAATTACCGTTCAATCAACATATAAGGTATATTAAAAAAGAAATCAATAGAAGAAGAATAAGAAACAAGAATACTTGTCTTATATAGGTATAAAAAAGTATTCGATAAATCTCAGATGAATACTCATAAAGTTATCTGTGATTCAGCCATATGGAACTAATGAATAACATCAGGGAATAATTACTGTTTATTGATAATTAGAAAAGGGAGCTTCACTGTATTGAAGACAGTTTTCTTCTATCTCGCATCAAGTATCACAATGTGGTTCATTCATATTATTCGAAATTTCTAGTTGGACGATCTTTAGCTGACACTTCATTAAAATTGATCATAACCGAGATATGGTATATGAATTTACCTACCTATTGATATAACAGCAACAAAATACTCTTTACAGATTCAGGAGAATAACGGTCTGAATTTGTTAAGCATTTTATACGAATATTTTCCATTAGCGGATCATTACAATCATTTTGAATGCTCTAGTTCCGTGACATTGGTTACTTTTCAGTTTTTAAGAGCCGCGATAAAAATTACTTTTGTTTCAATACAAAGCATAATAATTATAAAGCTTTATTTTCCTACAGAAGGTATTAACACATAACCCTTTCTAATAAATACATATAGATAAAACATGTTGAGAAAATTAGCATTTGAAATACAAAACCTGATAATACATGTTAATTTTAATAAATCCTAGAACCATTTATTCATTAAAAGATTACATGAAAATCCAGCGAGAGAATACTTGTTCATATCGCACCTGCTAGACTGAATTGAATAGTGAACACACATACTAATGAGTGATTGTATGAGTGAATTGGTCTTCGGAGTGTTCAATGAAATGGAATCCTTTGACCCTGAACTTATTTGTCAAATTCTATAAAAACTATACGATCTCTATAACCTTGATGGAGGTTATACAGAAATTTCAAAACAAGTAATTTCAAGTAATTTGCCCCAAATATATTTAACAAATAAGTTTATGAATAATACATAAAAAATTAATGAATATTGAATGAATAGAGAATGAATAAAATTTACAATTCAGATTATACAATATACATATACATTGATCAATGCTTATTTCAATAACACTGTAACTTTGTCAATGAACCTACAAAACTCACAGCTAAATCGAAGCAACTAACATTATTCCAACAACAAACAAGTACATAATTTTTCTCTTGAAAGATACTCGAAACTATTCTTTTTTTTCTAAACATCAGGTAAAACACATAAATTATAGGTGATAAGGTGGACGAAAAGTATTCGAAAGCGCTAATTTATGTAATTTGATTTGATAGTTCAACTGAATTTATGAGGATTATTTGGTATTTTATTCAATTGCGTTTTGTAATTTTTTTTAAATACTTTTTGGGTTCCGTATAGTCCATACATGCACGTGAGACAGGTAGAAAACTCATATTATTAATATGACTTGAAATAAATCGCCACACAAGTTCACTAAACTATTGAATGATATAACCGAATTTCTCGCTATTAATTATTTTTCCTTGAATTATTATCATCTCTTATCAGCGTAAATTGGCTGTTATTCGGAAGAAGTTAAAAGTGATAATTTTGTGGAGATGTTCAGAGAGTGAATTATGTACTTGTTTTCCAAATAATGTGAATTATATCCACTGTCCTGTCCGGTTTGTTTGCCCATTGACAAAGATACAATGTTTGATAAAGGCATTAGGAATTTCCAAATTAAATATAAGTGGAAATTAACGATTGTGTCTCATTTTAACTGTGATTTGATTCATTATACCTTTGTTTTTCAATACAATAATCACTATTATAGTATTATTCAGACACATTATGTTTTTAATGTGCCCGAAAATGTAGTAATATTACGAAACTGCAATCGCAAATATTTCAAAGTCGAGGCAAGAGAGTGTTTCTGAAATGTTGTAAACTAACACCAATCGAATCATGTTGGAAGTTTTACAATAACTGAATGTTACCTAGAGAATTATGTTCAGAACATTGAGCTATATATTTAACATAAGAGAAAATATGTAACCTCATTATTCAAGAGAGAATCTCCATTTTTTTTTAACGAATCTAACGATTACGAAATTAAACATCGTAACGATTTACGAATAATTAAATAGGTGTGATGCACATTTTATGTACAAATCTACTTATATTGAATGGTATTGGCCTTTACTGGATGTAAATCCTACAGTTTAACGCCGGTTCCGAACGGACAAATCAATGTAATCAATGTACATTACCCAGCATATATCATTATTCAAACTACTTACGTCAGGACAAACACAAACATCCATGCTTTCAGCGGGGCTCGAACCCGAGTTCTACCGCACCATAGTCGGTTGTTCTACCTACCATTGATCTACGGAGACCGGAAGATGTAATGTCCATTACAATTAAATATAAGATGAAATTCAAACATTCAAATTCAAAACAAAAGTTGATGTGTTTCATTTTATCTTATATTCAATTATAAATCTACAATGAGTAAAGGTTTGATTGTACTTAATAATTTGCCAATGTCTATAGAGTATTTGTAAATAAATAGAACACTTTTTCTAAAATTCCAAAATTATTTCATATATTGTCCATTACAATATTGTGGTGGACAATATGTGAAATATTTTTGGAAATGTATTTAATTTCATAAAGTTGACATAGAATTTCAACACGTATTATCTCCTCTTCAATGAACTATCTATAGAGTATTGTGTGAAATATAGAGTTTTTAGAAAATCTCATTTGAGCTCATCTTCAAGACTAAATAGATACAATGATTTTAGATCAATGTCTTGAAGATGAGCTCACGCTCGAAACATGTTGACTATTTGATATTGTTAAATATAATCGTGAAACATTAAGCCAATTGTTTAATTTAATTTAATATTTAATTATGTTTCACCAAGAGTTAAGCGAGAATTCAATCTCAGTCATCAATAAATATTCTTAGTATAGTGTTTGATAATTTGACACAGTGGTTTTTTCTATGAATTCTTATTGCAATTAGTTTTCCAATATTATATAGAGACTACATTTTCGGAGTATTACTCAAACACGTTATGTTTTTGATGTGCTTGAGTAATTTTTGAGCAAGTTCATATATGAAATATTTAGCGAGTAATAAAGATTTTTTATAAAATCTCTGATTATTATATTCTAGAAAATTTTTCTTGAAATGTTGTGTGAAAGTGAATATTGTTTCTTTTTTCGTTATAATTTTTTTATAGCTCATTGCTAAATAAAGTTATTATCGTCATGAAACATTAATAAATATTCTTAGTATAGAGTGTTTGATAATTTGACACAGTGGTTTTTTCTATGAATTCTTATTGCAATTATTTTTCCAATATTATACAGAGACTGCATTTTCGGAGTATTAGTCAAACATGTTATGTTTTTGATGTGCTTGAGTAATTTTTGAGTAAGTTCATAGGTATATGAAATATTTAGCTAGTAAGAAAGATTTTTTATAAAACCTCTGATCATTATATTCTAGAAAATTTTTCTTCAAATGTTGTGTGAAAGTGAATATTGTTTCTTTTCCGTTATAATTTTTTATAGCTCATTGCTAAATAAAGTTATTATCGTCATGAAACATTAATAAATATTCTTAGTATAGAGTGTTTGATAATTTGTCTCAGTGTATTTTTCTATGGAGTCTTCTTGCGATTAGTTTCCCACTGTTTTCTCCAATAATAGATGTCTTCAGTAGGCTGGAATCAGTGCCATCAAATCAATTTATGTATCGCTTCGATTGCGCGACAATCTCGTTAACCGAACTTTCTCGTCCATTCGAAGTAAACATCGGATAGACAACTACGAAAGCAAGTGAAACAAAGCAGAGACCTCACTGAATGCCCGTTTGAACTTCATATATTGCAAACTTGATGTAGTGGACGAGGTTCATACCCGCGGAACCAGATCCTCCGGCCAATATGGGTCTGGCAACGGCAGCCTGTTTCGACTTAATCACATAGATCAAGTTTTCATGCTTTCACAGATATTCAGGTTGTATAAGAAGTAGAGAATGAGAATGTTACATACAATTGTAACGCGTTCATTCATTTCTTAACGAATTGGAGAATCTTAATCTTCAACTTTTAAATTAGATTATAAGGACGTGAATTTCGTTGTGAGAATAAGAGATTTTTGTTATGTAAGTCATTTGAAGAGAATCGTTGGTTGATGTCAGATTAATGAATTTTCAATAAAAGAAATAAACGATTATAATTTCTTGCAATTTTTACGCATTAATGAACATAAGAATTAAGGCCAGCTTTCTTTTACAATTATCTTTACTAGAGAAACACATGTTGTATTATGCAATACATTATTGTATACATTCATTATTACTTCACTCATTATTAACACTTACCAATTCACTATATATATTATATACATAGTATAAAACAAAGTTGTTTTCTCTGTTCCTATATCTAGGGATATAGGAACAGCTAAAATGCTTATGCTTACTAAGATGTATGCTTAAATCTAAAAAAACGGATTTTGATGCGATTTTTCAGATAATTTTTCAGATGGGGTTTCTAATGTGATGTCGTAAATAATTACATTTTTCCGCTTACATTGCAAACGCAGGCTGAACCCCATAGAAAACTAGAAATTCATACCTCTGTAAACCTTTTTGAATTATCTAAAATGTCGGTACAAAATTTCCATAAGGTATAAATATCGTCTCATTGTCAGATAATTGATTCAGTCTTCAGAACAGAATCCAATAGAACTCTAACAGAGACATTCAATTCAAGCCACAAAGAAGTCGATTCCCCACGAAGAATTTTGTGTTTTTAATTAACTTCCAAGTTCGAAAATCTAAAACTTGAACTGCGCCATTCTGACGAGAGCCAAGAGCTCGAAACATGTATGTAAACGGCTGTCACAAAATTGCAGGTTAATACCATAAGATTCTTTTATATATATATATATATATATATATATATATATATATATATATATATATATATATATATATATATATATGTATGTATATATAAGGAAGTGAAATTTTTTGTGCTTATGGCACTGAATGAAATATTTAAGAAAATGAACACTAGAACATTCATTTGAAAGATTCAAATGAATCAAGAGAATGTTATCCTTCATTATCCTTCAAGGGATAAATGTTAGAGAAATATTGAAATCGATGCCACACGTGATGGAAGTGCGAGACATATATGTTTCGTTCTGCAAGGAACTCGTCAGTCGCACCACGCCCATCGAAGTGAGGCAACGATTTCAACCCCCAAGCATCTTTTTGTGGCTCCAAGTGGAAGATCGTAGAGTAATGAATACCCCACAATTCCATCTATAGGAATCAGTAGAAAACACCTCTCAGATTACAGACACAACAAGCATCGAAATTGTTTCTACGGGTATAGAAGATATGTGAATTTTCGATGCTTGTTGTGTCTGTAATCTGAGAGGTGTTTTCTACTGATTGCTATAGATGGAATTGTGGAGTATTCATAACTCTACGGTGTTCCACTTGGAGTCACAAGAAGATGCTTGGGGGTTGAAATCGTTGCCTCACTTCGATGGACGTGGTGCGACTGACGAGTTCCTTGCAGAACGAAACATTATGTCTCGCACTTCCATCAGGTGTGGCATCGATTTCAATATTTCTCTAACATTTATCCCTTGAAGGATAATGGAGACATCACATCGTACAGGTTCACATATCTAGCTCTACTATAGCACCGTCTTGATCAATTTGAATTTTTCAGATGAATGTTCTAGTGTTCATTTTCTTATATATATATAAGTATAGAGAAAAATAGTAGATGACGGTGCAGTACGCACTTGAAAGCAGCCGTTGACAGGTTATTCGATCTTGTGGGCTATCATCAGAATTTCGTTTTCGAGTTTCAGATGTACGAACTTGAAGAAGCAAGGAAAGACTGGATGTCTTTTCGCTAAAAAACGATTTTTCCTTATCTACTGCTTTCGTTTTAGTTTTTTCATTTAAATCTCCTGCGTTAAACCTTCTACTATTGTATGAATTATCGGTTAGAGATTCTACAAATGAGAAAAGGTCGCGTCCTTGACAAATCAATTATCGATTCTTCTAATCGAGAGATGTTCATTCTGAAGCCACAAATGAATGCTTCCTTTTCTTGAGTTTCCGTTTATTTTTTCGTCTCCAGTTCTATGAAACTTGGCTACGTCTTTCTGATGAGTGAGAACAAGCTCAAAACCTTTGTCAACGGCTGCTTTAAAGTGTAAGCTGTTCCGTTATGATAATAATATGCGTGTAGTTTGGTTATCTGTGTATCAACTTCTGAGGAAGAAAAAATTTACGAATAAATATATATATATATATATATATATATATATATATATATATATATATATATATATATATATATCTTGTAGGATGAGTATTGCTGCATTAACTTAGAAACAAAAAGAAGAATTTACTGAATTTGGATTCTTAAGAGGTCTTGAAAGTTGAGGAATGTTGAAAAATACTAGTACTTCAGAAATTCAATGTTTCTGGTCAAAAACGCGGTGCTTCATCAGAAATAATCTGACAAGAGTGAATTAACCTGCCAGAATGACATAAAAACTTCAAAGTAATATATCGATAAAATTATCATAAAAGAAATTTTCAAGAAACAATACGTGAATATTCCTCCGGTAGATTTGAAAAGGTAGAACTGTCACCTTTACAAATCTACTGGTAGAACTGTCACGCGTTATTTTTCAAAAATTGTTGTATTTTTATAATTTCATTGATATATTACATAGAAGTTTTCATGTCATCGTGACCGCTATAGACTTTCGTCTGATTATTCCTGATGAAAGACCACGTTTTTGGTCCGAAATATAGAATTTCTGACGTAGGTACTAGTCTTTTTTCAACAATCGCCCTCTTAACTTGCCGAGAACTCAAATTCAGGAAATTCTTTCTTTTGTTTATATATATATATATATATATATATATATATATATATATATATATATATATATATATATATATATATACGATATTAAAAGTATACTATAACTTTGTTTCGATAATTTTTCGACAAATTATTGAAAAGAACATTATAACAATGCTGGCTATGTGAAACATGAACAATGCGATGTCTCACTATACTTTTAGGGATGAATGTTAGATAATATTGAAATCGATGCCTACATTTATTGGAAGCGTAAGACAGTTAACTGTTTCGTACTACAAGGTACTACAAGGTTTTCATACTACTCATCAGTTACGCCACGTCCAACAAATGAAAGATAACGGCTTCAATCTTCACATACACTCTTATCGATCGTAAGACGGAGATATACAGTAAGTCGTATGCATATATAATGCATAGATTAATGTAAATCTCAAATCTTAGGAGTCAATG